TCTGCTACTGGAGATAACCATATTTTGGTGCACATGAAGTTTACGGGCAAGAGCCGGCTCCTGCTTATAGAGGAACATCTTGGGTATCTTCCGCCCTGGTACTCATATCCACTTCCTCTGTCTGGGCTGCGAAAACTTCGCTCATATGTGACTCGGCCGGAATGACTTTTTTTGCCCCCCCCCCCCTGTAGATTTGTGTAAGGAGAGTGGTTTGACCTGGAAAGCCTCACTTTTTACGAGATCTACTTTACAAGGCTTCTGTTGGTTGTCTGCACTATACAGGCCTTGTGAGTCGATCTCCTGTAGGCCTTGTGGAGGTGGGTGTGGGTGAATCCGGTTGCTTAGTGCACGAAAAGCTGATATCTGATGATGAACTCTTTGTTGCATGGAGGCGTGAGACATCCCATAGTTGCTCGGAGGGGTCAAGATTCAGGTTTTTGCACCGCCTCTTCACCAACGAGATGTTAACCCTTGGGTGTCGGAACTAGCTTTTGAACATATACCTTCGATCTGTGCTCGGAATCGTAGTAGCCGTTGATCCGACCAGTAGTTTTGTATCGTATTTTGATGGAAGTAGTTTCATGACAGTTAGGACATTTGGCATGCGCTCCATCTGGCGCTCGCGTCAGCTTCTGTTCAGGTCAACCAAGCCTTTGCCCTTTCAGGTGTAATAAACTTGTACCATATTCGTCTGGGGAGATAAAACCACTGACTTATATAGCGGCAAGTTCACGGAAATCATTGTGCAGGTCACATGGCTCTCTATAAGTCACTACGATTTTGAATGAAATTAGAGTGTCTGCCGCATCCCAAAAGGGTTGTCTGAAAGCCTGAAAGCTCTCTCCTCTGTTCTTCATTTCATTAAGTGAGAGACTGTCAAAGGTTTTTTACTACATGTGCCTACACTTCCAGGCACTCGTAACTTACCCATATCACTTTGATGAATTGATCGTCTAGAAGTTCAATTAATACCTCTTGTTTCTTGTTATGTGCTTCGACGACCTCTTTACCTTCCTTGTTGCTGTTGGGAGAGCTTAATGTTTATTTTTCGAATATTTTTCCATCATTCAGCATGGAAACTCCTCTGTGGGCTAACGAAGATGCGACGCCGCGCTGCTGGAAAGTGCCTAGTGCTGCTCAACTCACCTGCTTGGTATGGAGATCAGAGGCTTCTGAATCAGACTATTTCGTCTAATTCGATTTTGCCGGTTATTTTGTTATTCAGGTTCGCCATTTGGCAGAACTTGTACTGCCATCCATTCCGTTGTTACCAGTGGTATGGACTCAACTGGCAATGCGGATGGCTCTTACTACAAGTCAACGTCATGCAGCAGGGAGATGTTTCCAGGTCTGTTTCGTTAACACAGAATGTGTGCGATTCATGGGGAAGCCTCTGTTGAATCCTTCTGATAACAAATTGAATTCGACAACGGAGGCGAGTGTACGCTACGCTGATGTCCATAAAAAGCTTTTGGGTCCGGCCCCACCTAGAAAACGGGATTATTT